CCTACTTTCATGACTGTTTGAAATTTCCCATAATAAAAACTTGTTTTTCTTTTTTTAGTCTACCTTCAGACCTACTCTGGGCTATGTCAAGATCATCCCCATAAGCTCCATCACTCTCCTTCCCATTTCTGTCCAGCAAGGCTCAACCAATCCTACAGTCCCCTAAATGTCCTGTGGAAGCCAGCCATTCATTCTAACATGCTAAGCACAGATGTGACATCATGGTGGTACTGAATGAATATTAGAGAAATATATTATAAGTAAAATTATGGAAGGTTCTGTCTGCATACACCCTGAAGTTGAAAATGAACTTACCCTTCCCTAACTCTTCTATAAATATGTTAATTAGTTCCTAACTCTTCCTTTCAAAGGAAGTCTATGGGACTAGACTGTAGTTCAGTGGTAGAGTGCTTGTCTAGCATGCCTGAAGCCCTGGTTCAATATGTAACACCACAACAAATAAAATAAAAAGGAAGACTGTGACATTTGAAAACTTTCTCAGCAATACATCCTGAAACTTTCTTCAAGAAAAATAAAACTCTTATCAAGGGAGGCATTATTGCTGAATATCTGCTCTATGAGCAAAGTGGTTCATTTCCTTATCATGTAATAATAAAGACAATTAATAAAACACATACCACTTTCCACAGAAAACACCAGAATGGGCTCCCAACCTTTATCAATCCCCTGGATTCTTTACACACATGAATTATCTTTATGTGTGTGGCTCATCACCATGATGAATGTGAGTGGGAAATTAAAAAGAAACAGCAAACCAACTACTCTTCAGAGCTATTGTCTGTGACTTGTTTTCTCAAATCAAGTGGTTCTGGCTTGATTTGAGACACCTGTACATTCTGGCCACCTACAGAGCTTTCTTTCAGATTCCTCAATGGCTCAGAGCACATGGCTGCACTGTCAAAGCAGTGAGATCCTGGTAGGCATTAGAGATAACCAGCAATTCTGTGCAGAAAGCCTCCCCACTTCTGTGCTTATTAAAGTTACCTTTCACTTTCAAGCTCACACAAAAATACCACTTCATTCCCTCCATTGAAAATAATCATTCCTTTGGCTCTAGTATTTGTTATTGTATACTCCCACTCATTAAATGGAAAGGTTTTACAGGGAGTCTATGTAGCATAAAGTGAGACCCTGCTAAATTTTCAGAGTGAATGGTGAATAAATTATGATGGATAAGCATCAGAATTCTTCCAGAATCCCTTCTGGGAATCATCTTTGTTCAAAGATAGTACTAACCCCCTGGGACCAAGAGCAGTTGTAAAGGCCGACATTCCTAGGTCAAGGACTTTTGCAGGTGGGAGGTGAAGGGGATGATAATTGAGAAGTTGTTCTATTTTCGGGAGGTGGAGTGGGTTGGCGTTACCCTACGTTCACTGAATAGTGATTCTTCAACTCAGCTAAACTTCAATATCCTGCTAACTTGGGGGCTGAAACTTTTCTACCTGGGCCCATCGGGCTTTCTTCAAATTCAGTCTGAAAGGTTTTATCAAAATCATGAGAC